GATGGTGCAGATGTTTCACTTGCTTTGGTCATTTCTGCCCAGGTCTTCACTGTGTCGGTTAGATCCTTGTAGAGCTGATCATATACAATTTATATTATTATTTAGGTATATATTCTATGGCCCTGTTGGGTTCTTGATTAAAATGTTTCCCTTTTTCATATGATATATTTTTCTTCCTAGTTGAAATCTGCAAATACTTTGCAGGCACTCTCTAAATTATACATTTGAATGTGCGCTTATTATTACACTTCAAAGTAGGGATGCACGATATTGGTTTTTTGAAACCGATACCGATACCGATAACTTCCTGCTTCTCAAGACCGATACCGATAACCGATAATAAAAAATCGGAGGACCGGGAGGGTGTGTGTATGTGTGGCCTGAGCGAGCGAGAGAGAGACCTTACGTGCATTGTTGTTGTTAGCATCTGGTGCTAGCTAGCTGCGCTAACGGATATAAGGAGCTGTTTAAATGAAAACAGAGGAGCGACATTTCGCCACAACTGCGCCGAGCACTTGACTTTATGCAGGAAGCCAGACAGTGGGACATTGTACGAAAAGTCAGCACACTCAGCACGGATAGTGCGCAACATGATTGCAGCGTCCAGGCAGCTCCGGTTCGAGCATATGCCTTGAGTTGCACATAGCTCCAACGCCCATACCACCGACGACATGTTTGTTTACTGTCCTGGCTTCACGGCCGCACACCATTTACGTCACAGCCAGGCATGAGTGAGGGAGCGCTGGATTTGTGAAGAACTCCCCTCTTCCTAAACCACTAATACCACAGTACTGGCAAAACGGGAGGAGCCGAGTGAAAAACAAGCGCCCCTCCACCCACACCGCAGTATTTTTATTTATTTTTTACCCAAAAAATATATTGTATATTATCGGGGCTATTAATACTGGTATCGGGTTTATCGGGATGACGTCATAATTCCTAATATCGGGCCGATAATTATCGTGCATCCCTACTTCAAAGTGACTCTCAGTAAATGAAAAGGACATTGTTTGGCTTTATAAAACGGAACTATATTTCATTGTCACAGTTGGCTGTTCTGTTTTATGAGGGGAACTCCTAGTATCTGCTCAGGCGCATCCTATACTGTTTAGATGACAAACAGGAATATAAATAAACCATATTAAATAGCGCCATGCACCTTGGAAAAACACTTATTGCTTTACAGTTCTGTAAGTACTGTAAGAAAATATAATTTACAATTCAGCATCACTCCTGTTTACTGTTCCAACTCAGATTTCTGCATTAACGCTGATTTCTACCTTTCTTTTGCTGAGTGGAGATTAATAAATGCCTAGTCTGCTGGCATGGCTGTGGGCGCAATTGTATATTGTCAGCCGTCACGACATACAACACAGAGATTAGGGATGTAGTGAGCAGTAGGATGCTCTGACTCAGCACTTTGGAGCTGTCCATCTGTCAGATGCAAACGCCCACTCTCTCTTAACACACACATATATGCAGTATACTTTAGCAGATATAGCTGCTCGTGCTTGCATGCCACCTGTAAAATAATTTGAATATCATCAGCTTTGAGTATCAATCTATGCACAGAGCTTTTATGTTAATGTTTTAACATGTCCAACTCTTCGGCCCTGACTGAAATATTTTCAAAACCATTGAATGAATTGGAAGGAAATTGAGTCTAGATATTTGTAATCCTCAAAGGGTTAAGCTTTTGCCTTTGGTGATTCCCAAACGTATCCTCTGGTTCAACTAGTATACATTTTTCAGAAAGTTTTGCAAATACATGGTGCTAACAAAATGTATGCTAATGAAATTTCTGACCCCCCGACTTTCCCTCTAGCTCCACAATGAGTCGGACATTTGTGGTTTTAAGGGAATTGCATCATCAACTATTAGATGGATTCTAATGAAATTGTAAGCAGAAACTCATGTTCCCTCCGGGATCAATTATTGTATTTTGAATGATCCCCAAACTGTTTTTATCTGCTCCCATCATCAGGTCAAATTTCTAATTTGTACAATATTTGGTTTATGATCGAAAAAAATAATAAAGTGTCCCCAGTCTTAGCCAAAGTTCAAGTTAATTGTTAGGATGCAACCAGCTAAGATTGTTAACATAAATACCGTAAACCTTATATCTGCCATACAATAACCGCTACCTGTTGAGTCTTTGACTTAAGGTTTTTTGGGGGAAATATTAAGTATAATACTACATGTTTAATCAACCAACACTTTAACACATAGCTTTGGCATCTTGACAGAGTTTTTAGGGGAAATTTGACAAAATGCAATAGTCGATGGGGCTCTCAGAAGGATTTTGTGTCTCTGCACAAAAGGATTTATGACAGGCAGTTACCCCTGGCTGCCCCGGTGTCAGCCAGAGAGGGGAGCACTGTAGCTCAACATCTCTCCAGGACTCCAGAAACCTCTGGAAGATTTGTTTGCAGGATATGCAGCAGAAGATGACTGACTCACAGGAGCTAGAACAGTTCTGCTGCAGATGTCAGGGGGAACGGCCATAAATTCATTTAAACCCACAGTTTGAAAAACATTGATTCCCTGGGCCGCCTTCTGCTGTTCAGTTCAACACAGCAGGTTATTGATCAGGGAGAACAGAGTAGGGTAGAGGAAGCAGGCCAGGTCAGATTAAAGGCAGAAGATATGAGGAGAGAGAAAATGTTTTGTTTTAAGAGTTTGCATTTGACTCACTTTCACTGTTTGATAGTAATTACTTTGTATAAGCAGTGTAGCAGCAGGCCAATATTTACAGGGACTTAGGGAGCATGTTCATTTTATTTTATGAGGAAAATAACTGTTGTATTGAAGGTTTTTTTGTCAGGAAAAATAAGTTTTGGACAGTGTATGGATCCATTCATTGTTATACATTATATTTACAAGATGTAACAGTAGGGATGTTGGCATGTGACATCATAATAATAAGTAAGGCTATACTCGGTATGAAATTCAGAATTTGAGATGTACTAGGTAGGTGGTTTCTGTCGCTGGATTTAACCTCACTGACTTCCATAAGTATGTCCAAAACTGTTAAAGATGGCAACAGCCCTGCAGTCAGCTGAAACCTTTATCAACTCCTTCTGCTAACACAAACACTGCCCCCCAATGGTCGGAAGAGCACATGTTTCACACAAGTAGTGGAGAAGTAATATACTGACAATAAATTAGTTAATGTAGACTGATAAGACAAAACCCTTACTTACAGTGTTAAAAATACTTCTAATACTACTACTACAGCACTAACTACTTCTACTACTACTGCTGCTGCTGCTTTGCACTGTTAATATTTGACTACATACTGTATGTTATGTGGAGGCTGTTGATAGATGAATAAAATCAAACCAAAACAAATGTTTTAAGTCAATGTTACTAGAAATAATTGTTAACAATATTAGACCAGTGATTACATCTAAGACAAGTCAATGTTAGATCATGCCCGTTGCTCAGAACCATTTTTACAGCCATTTCAAAACTACTCTTCATCTCTTTCCAGAAATGTTGTCATTCAATACATTTCTCATTGTGTGTATGATAATATTCTGATTCAGGGCTGGAGCTGATAACCGAGCAGCTGCGTTGCGTGTCTCTCATTTAAAATCTCTGGCTGTTTAGTGTTTATCATCCGTTTCTTTGTTATCATGCTCTGACGCTCTGTTTTTACCATACCATGTGTTTTTCTATTCATTCTGCCCATGCTCTGCAGATGCTGGATGTCAGGAGAAACAAGGTTTGTCCCTATGTTTGCACCACGAGTTGTGTGCACAACATAGAGTCACCTTCAGTGTGCCGTGTATTTTCAGACACCTGACAATCCCTTTGCACCATTACAACCTCTCCTATGAACCTCAAAAAGGAAGTGAAATCTTTACAGCAGCTCACACCCCATCCTTTTCCTGTGAACCCTCATGTGTTACCCTATAAACACTGTGACATGATAAAAGTGACTGTTTGTTGAATTGTGTCAATCCAAATGTGTCTGGTGGTCGATCCCCCTGTAGTAACATAAACCCTACAAGCCCAGACTGCCTGTAAAGTGGGTTTGTTTGTGGTGTAAGAATCTTTTTTCTCTCCTCTAAATCCTGATTGAGCCATTTTCTGGACATAGATTGATCTCTCTCTGGAGATATCTGCTGGAGGAAAATGTTAACAGGAGAGACCAAGCCTGAGGCAATCTGTGACAGAAATGAGGCCATAACACTCCTCCCCTAAATCTACAAAAAATACCCCTGCACACAAAAAAATATAGTAGGCTTAATAGAGCTTGTTTTTATTTTAATTTTATTCTGGACATGTACATCGTTCTTCACAAAAAAGAATGCATGTAATCAACACATTACAGTGCCGTCTCTACAGTGCAATGATACAGTATCACATGATACGAAATGAGCTATTGGCTCAAATCTGGCATAATTAATCTCTTCTCTTTTTTCTGAGATTAATGTATTTGTATGCATGGTCCTTGTTGAAATAAATACATAATAATAATAATTATAACAGTGTCCAGTAACGTTAAAAGGTCATAGTGAAATTGAAGATAAAAAAATAAAATTTAAGATATTTGCTCAGACCTCTTTTCACTATATTTGGATGCGACTTTGTGACCGGAAGCATCCGGGTTGTCTTTTACTCAGATTAGCACAATAACAACTCTTATTAGTTCTGCTCACATGTAAAAAGATTGAGCAATCTTCACTTGTGAAAAGAATAGGGACTTAATAATGTTATTGTCATGCACATAGATTAAAGAAATAATATACATAATAATTGTCCTTAAATAGGCCGTATTGTATTTTGACAATATCACTTGTTTGCAGTCTATTTGCTTCGAATGATTGGAAAGTGATATGTCCCCCCCTTTCCAACCAGCTGAAGCATTATTCCTCGGAACAATGTGCAACTGCATTAAAGAAGTGTATTTAAATGTGCTTACCCTCATGTGTGTTGCCATGACAAACGTTGCATTGTGGTAACATCTAATATTAATTTCAATAATTGTAAAGTCTCTCTTCCAGCACCTCCAGATGACTATCCAGGCTCTGCAGGATGAGCTGCGCACACAGAGAGACCTGAACCACTTGCTTCAACAGGAGGGTGGGAACCGCTCAGACCATTTCACCACCATCGAGCTGACGGAGGAGAACTTCCGGCGTCTGCAGGCCGAACACGACAGGCAGGCCAAGGAGCTCTTCTTGCTGCGGAAGACCCTTGAGGAGATGGAGCTGAGGATCGAGACCCAGAAGCAGACGCTGGGTGCCAGGGACGAGTCCATAAAGAAGCTGCTGGAGATGCTGCAGAGCAAAGGGCTGCCACCGGGGTCCGGGAGGGTGTCCGAGGACGAGGAGCAGGAGAGAGCCAGGCGCATTGCTGAGGCAGAGGCCCAGCTCGGACACCTGGAGGTTATTCTGGATCAAAAAGACAAGGAGAACATCCATCTACGAGAGGTACTCTATGACCAGGTTCAGTTAATATTAATATATGGGGGTAACTGTATAAGACTGAACACTAACTGTTTTCACTTTTCATCACTAGAGGGCAGTGTCGATTTAATATGCTTTATTCTGCGGCTCATATTGTAGCATATTGGTTATGTAACGTAAACACTTTACATGTGCAATGTGCCTTTATATGAATTTAGTAGTGTTTTTTCCCTTAAGTCAATTGTAGTCATATAATCGTGCTTTCTGTTGCGTTAACACTAGATTCTGCTGTAATTGTGCCACATAATAATGCATCTTTTCTAAAAGGAACTGCACAGAAGAAATCAGCTGCACCAGGATCCAGGCAAAACCAAGGCCCTGCAGACCATCATAGAGATGAAAGTAAGAACCAGACGCACAATATACAGCCAGGATTTTACCCACTACAGCAGTCCCCATTGAAATTGTCCATTGAACTGTTCTTTAGAATAGTGGAGTAACTAATATTTAGTTAATTTGTTTTACCTTTTAAAGAAAGGCACCTCTATCTGACAGTTTACAGACTTCAAACAAGCTAATAATTGACAGTCTGTCTAGAACCAGATGTTAAAATACAGATGTTGTGTTTGAGTCACTAGCATTAACAGGCCTTGTATTATGTAAGCTGCTGTATGACTTAACAGGCCTGTGTGTTCTGCTGAATCTTCTGTTGTTATTGTGACGATCAGCAGCTGAGTCAATAATTAACACACTGACACATCTCTCTAACTCCCTCTCACACGCAGACATGCACAGACTGTGTTTCTGTTCACAAAGCAGTTGTGTAAACATCAACTAGAATCAATATTACTGTTCAACATTACAGCTGTCGTCCCTCGCCGAAGAGATGCAGCAGCTGGTCATGGCAACCGAAGTTTCAAAAATTAACTCTTCAATATCAGAGACTGCAGGTCCAACAATTCAGCCTGATTATATTTAGTTTGGCATTGTGACATTTGCAGTGCTTCAAACTATTTCACACGCACACAGTCTTTTTTTGAAGACACTAAAATTGCCTAGCTGAATTATTAAGCAAAACAGTATCAAATGATGCAAACATTTGGATTTTTTAAAATTATATTTAAGCTGGTTGTGCAGTACTAATAATGTATGAATGCATCTTCTTGGATTTGAATACAGGACAGTGAAACAAGGAGAGAAAAAAATATGTATATAATGTTAATGTAACTTTAACAAGGTTAAGGGACACTTAAATACTCGGACAAGCATTCATATTACATTAGAAAATATTCAAGAAGACCCCACCCATCCAGTATAATTTTCTTTCGCCTTTAGATCAAGCAAATTACATTTCACACACACACTACATTTTAATACATACACAAATCTGATTCAGTTGTAATATGTCAATATGTTATATAAAAAGGCTTATTCAGATCAACAAGTGTTGTATGGCTGTACTCTCCGGCAGCCTCACTGCAGAGGCCTGACATCACTTCCTCAAAATAAATCATGACATCATCGCTGAGCTGACACAGCCCCTCTCTCTCGGCTGGGTCGGCACTGTGCAGGCCTCAGCCTTCCCCCGATGCGGTCATGTGACATCTGTGCTCTGGGATACTGTTGATTTGCATACAGAGAGAGGGAAGACCCGCCTTCTCCCCCCTGTGCTGTGCAGGAAGACCCTGCATCTCTCCCCTCTCCTCCACTCCCTCTGCTGTGTGGATGCTGATGCTGAGGCACGAATAATCCTCCCTCCCCATCTACCCTACATCCCTCCCGCCCTCTCCTGCTCACTCACCAGAGACAGTGCACAGTATATAGCCTGCCTGCTGCTACCATGGAAACAGGTGTGGTTGTTTATGACAGCGAGAGGCCAGTTTGCAGAGAGATAGATTGAAAGAGGCAGGGGAAGAGAGATAAAGAATAAGATTTACTGACCAGGTCGATGTACCAGTGATCACATGTGGATGGAATAAATTCCCCCTCCTTTGAAGGTACGCCGTCTTATATCTATTGCAGCAAAGCAATGTTAGTTAATTGATGTTCGTCTCGTAACACGAACACTGAGGTGAGATACAGCGGCAGGGCGAAGTACATGTGCAGTGCTCAGGTCGTCTGTCAATCATCATTTCGACACATTTCCAATGTTCCTCTGCAGCGGGACTGACCCTGCTTACGGCCACAGGTTCATGAGTCCAGAGCCACTAGGAGGAGAGGAGGAGAGACACAAAAAGAGAGAACGACAGGAAGGAACAAGGTTGCTCTATGCTCTGCTGGAGAGGTTGATGGACCATGGCTAATCTTAAAGACGTTGTATTATTTATTTAAAAAGCCGTGAAGCTAAAGCTGGACTCACAGTCGCAGTCCAGAGTCTGGATTCTGCATCGATCTGCAAGCAACTACGGCAAAAGCTACGCCTTGTTACTTTCTTCCTCTCCCTCTGCACGTTTCTCGTTGTCCTGGGCTAATCTCTCCATGCTGGATGTCTGCTCAATATTTCCTAATGGTGATTAATCCTCTGAGCTGCTGCAAGGAGCTGAGCAGAAAGCCTCTGATTTGACCAACAGATACTGCAGTTGCTCTCAGCGTCTTCCAGAGCTTTTTCCACTCTTTTATCTCGCTACATCTCTTTCTCTCTTCTTCCCTCTGTCTTTTAGTCTCCCTCTTTCTTTCTGTCCTGGGCTCTTGTATCTAGCTTACATTCATTTGCAGCTTGCAACTTTTGGACATGCCAGTCTGGATTTTGAGGTGTGTCTCCTCTGCATGTTTGTGTGCAGGACACCAAAATTGCCTCTCTGGAGCGCAACATTCGAGATCTGGAGGATGAGATCCAAATGCTGAAGGCGAACGGCTTACTGAACACAGAGGACAGAGAGGAGGAGATCAAACAGATGGAGGTCTACAAAAACCACTCCAAGTTCATGAAGACCAAGGTATATAAGCTCTGCACTCTGCATGAAATGTAGATCCTATGAAAATATGGCTGACAAACCAACACAGTTGATTCGTTTCGGTACAGTATGACTGTGCAGCAAGGAGAATACTAAACGAAGCTGTGTGTCTTTTAAATAAGCTGCTTTAGCATTTTGTCTCATCAGCAAAGTGTTCTGTTGGCAACTATCTGAGAGAAGCTTTTTTTTAAAGAAATCAGCGTACCAAGGATACCAAATAAGGCAAACTCAGCAAGGGAGTTATATGGCATAATACAATACTTAACATGTCTTTCTTAATTGCTTATAAAAGCTGGGTACTTTATTATTGTGCTGCCAAGAATCGTAATGTCGACATTAGGACATTACCGCTTCACCTGTGTAGTTTTCAGAGCAGTGAGAGTTTCTATCAGTGCATGCTACATTACGTCATGATAACTTTTAGCAGTTGGAGCTACACCAGCAGGGCCATCTGAAATCTGTTATTGTATCAAGGTGTGTATGTCTGCTGCTCTCTGGGGCTCATATGTCTCTCAGGAGCTTTGGCCCTGTGTTTACATGCCGCTCCTCACAAAAGTCAACCAGGCGTGGACCAGCCACAGTTTTGTTATTCTATTTTTAGACTTCTTTCATTAATCATGAATAGAGATGATGTATAATATATGACAAATGCAGGAGAGTCAGTCCCAAATGCATTTTTAATGAGAGAGCGTGTTGATGAAAATAGTGCATAAGCCTTACTGACTGCATGGCTCACTGTTTCCCACTCATTGTCTCTGTCATACCCCCACATATGCATTGCTAATTGTAATGGTTGTCGTCTGTAGATTGACCAGCTGAAGCAGGAGTTGTCAAAGAAGGAGTCGGAGCTGCTGGCCTTGCAGACAAAACTAGAGACTCTCAACAACCAGAACTCAGACTGCAAACAGCATATCGAGGTGCTCAAAGAGTCTCTCACTGCCAAGGAGCAACGTGCTGCCATCCTTCAAACAGAGGTAACAGAACAACCCTTAAAACATAACGAAAATAAACATAACAATTCACTGCCACACAAACATTTTCATACTCCAAACCAAACCGAGCAAATAAGAGGCTAGCCCTGAGCCCGAGGCATATTACTGCAAATCATATCAGCACTTTATTTACTCTGGGACTTCAAACTAAACTGTGACTCAGGGCTCCACCAAATATATAGAAATGAGAAGTGCACTGTCAAAGCACATCTCATAACCATTAAATAGCTACACAAACAACTAACTGAGGATGCATTACCCTTACTGTAATGCATACGCCTTACATCATTCCCATACTACAAAATACTCGCTCAGGACCTATGCTCCTTTGAATGACATAGAGATAAAGTTAAAATTGATTAATACTAGGGCCGGGACTTTAACGCGTTAATTAAGATTAATTAATTACACAAAAATTAACGCGTTAAAAAAATTAACGCATTTTAATCGCACTTATTTTTGCACCGTGGAACGTTTCTCACTGGATGAGTTTCAGGCGTACCGATTATACTGGAGCACCAACTAACGTTCATGACTTCAGACAACAACAAACCACAGTGAACAACAGTGGGAAATGTTGTTTTAAAAAACGGACGGATGGAAGCGTTGATAAGAGCACGGTTGTGTGCAAATTATGCAAAAAGGAATTCGCAAGCGTGGAAGCTAGCGTGGACGTTAGCCTCTTTTATCGCGTTCACACCAAAAAGAGCCGGTACTAAAATTAGTTAATGAGAACCTTTTTACCCCCACGAAAGTCCCTGCTAGAGAGCAGAGAGCTGCTAGAGAGCAGGGACTTTCGTACGGCTCTCTTGTGAGAAAATAGCTATATTTCTGATTGGCTGGGCGGATTGCAAACCACGCCCCGTAAAACTCCCAAAAAGTTTTGTGAAGCCGCCATTTTATTATCCTCGCATTAGCATTATTAGCATTAGCCCAGCGCAGAAACGCAGAGAGACTAACTTATGGCAACACAAAATAAAACATGGGAGCGGTGGAGATGAGGAGGTGTCGGCGTTCTGGCGATTTACTCGGAAGGCTGCTGGGACTCCCAGCAGCTTCTACTGAAGCCAGTCCCCAACTCCGGGGACTTCCGGCCGGGGACTTTGGGCGGCAGTATACGCCGTGAAGTGGTTTGCGGCCTGCCAGTAAACCCAAAGCAGAAGAAGAAGAAGTGACGTCAGCAGCTTCATTTGCCTAATCCTCCCCCAGGTTCAAAGAGTTCTCATGAACTAAATTCTCATGAACCTTTGTGGGAAAAGTACTGCGGTGTGAATGCGCCTAATGGTATACTAAAATCCATGTGAAAAAAAATTGCTTCTCACTGTTCTTAGGTCAAATATGTATATGCGATTAAAAATGCGATTAATTTCGATTAATTAATTACAAAGCCTCTAATTAATTAGATTAATTTTTTTAATCGAGTCCCGGCCCTAATTAATACCTAAAAGCCAGTATTAGCTGTCAAATCAAATCAGGTTTTATTTATATAGCACATTTTAAAAACGATTTTGGTCGAGCCAAAGTGCTGTACATGCAAATAATAAATAACACATTACTACAATCGCAAAACAGAGGACAATAAATTACAACAGCAAATCAAACACAGGGAAATGTCATGAGTCGTGCTCCGCTCTGACTAGAAGGCCAGGGAGAAGAAACATAGCTGTGCCTATGTTTGTCTTATAATTCCTTGTTACTCATTTACCATCAAATAAAAATGATGTAAGATTATTGTATTGTAAGTAGACTCACTGCACTGGGTGTGTTTGGCTGTGTCGTGCTTCAGGTAGATGCTCTGCGTCTGCGTTTGGAGGAGAAAGAGTCCTTCCTGAACAAGAAAACCAAGCAGCTGCAGGACTTGACGGAGGAGAAGGGCACTCTCGCCGGAGAAATCAGGGATATGAAGGACATGCTGGAGGTCAAAGAAAGGAAGATCAATGTCCTGCAGAAAAAGGTGAACATCAAAAAAAGACCTGCCCTTTTGGGTGGATAACAGGAGTTTAAAAGTCAAAAAGTGTGACTACAAACTGAGGAAATTGTCCAAACCACTTACTAACCACTCTGAGTTATTGCTACATGATTCATCTGTTACAATGAACTATGGTGAGGAGGTGCAGATGTATGTTGACCTACTCCAGATAAATGAGTAGTGAGTTGGGTAATTTTTCATGTCAGATTTTTGTGTCCTGAACAAAACCAGTCACTCTGTGAAAAGAGAAAACAGAATAGTTACTATCTCCATTAAGACTAGAGTCTCTGCTCTCAGGGGAAAAGTGTCCATAGAAAGACAAGCAAGAAGATATTTCTGCCTCACTGCCTCTAGTGTGTGTGTGCTATAAATACTCCCTCTCTCACACTGACCCGCTCACCCATTCCCTTTGCTTTTTCTCTCTCCCCTTGTTCTAACACACCTCCTCTTTCTCGTCCATCTACTTTTATCCCTCTCTTTGACATCTCTCGTGATTTCTCCTGATGTGGTTATTTGGTTTCATTTCTCTGTTGTGTCAACCATATAGTATAGTATATTAGATCAGCACACACGTTTTAATGTCTTTAAATAGCTGTGTTTTTACATTAGTCTCAATGCATAGTTCTAACAGATTGCTGCTTGATTTATATTCTGTTCTATTTTCAGTTCTACTTCCTAAACTCCTCAAAGTCTGGCCGTTTCTGATGTTTTTAATGGAAATGCTTCGTTATAAAGCCCCTGCACATTTCAAACTATGAACATGACGTTGTCTGTAGAGGGTCCAGCTCTTAAAGCAACGTTGAGTACTCTGGTTTAAAGTCATGCTTTTTACACCTGCTTCTTTCCCTTATTTCGTCCCTGTGCCACCTCCTCCTCCCTGTGTCAGATTGAGAATCTGCAGGAGCAGCTGCGAGACAAAGACAAGCAGCTGGGGAATCTGAAGGACCGGGTCAAGTCTCTGCAGACCGACTCCAGTAACACAGACACTGCCCTGGCGACCCTGGAGGAGGCTCTGTCAGAGAAGGTATGGTACAAAACTGCCGCATTAGGGAGGAGCAGTGTTCACAGTTGAGATGTAAACACCTGCTGCAGGACAAAATGATTGACGTGTGGCAGTTTTTGTACAGATTTAACAAACAAGATAGTCTCAGCAAAAAGCTAATAAGCATATTTTCCAAACTTTTCCTTAGATCAAACCCAAAAGTAATAATCCTTTACGTTTACTCCGCAAATTTGAACTTTTTGTTTTTGACACCTCATACAACTTAAAGTTCTTAGCGCTTACTCTTACACTTAATTCTTAAGTCGCTTGATATGTGTCTTGTTTCTCATACTGAGCTAAGACTTTGGTAATTCTTAAGATGTTTCTTTAAAGCATTCTCAAGTGTATTTCATTTAACTCTGTTTTGATGTCTCTGTGTGTTAGGAGAGGATTATAGAGCGTTTAAAGGACCAAAGGGAGAGGGAAGACAGAGAACGTCTGGATGAAGTGGATTCCTACAGGAAGGAGAACAAGGATCTGAAGGAGAAGGTCAACGGCCTTCAGATAGAACTAACAGAGAAAGAGGTCAGTGAGTACAAAGACATGCTGCATCTTTTTCTCTACTACTCTGCTCTGCTGTACTTTACTGCATATCTTTCCTGTTCCTATCAGTAGGCCCTTACTTTGTAACCTGTGTCACTTTGTCCTAGTTTGACCAGCTGGTTTGAACCTGTGCTAACTCTCTGCGCTGTCTCCCTGCAGTCCAGCCTCATCGATCTGAAGGATCATGCTTCGTCTTTGGCCTCCTCTAGCCTCAAGAAGGAATCAAAGCTAAAAACACTGGAGATCGCCATCGAGCAAAAAAAAGAGGAGTGTAGTAAGTTGGAGACGCAGTTGCAGAAGGTAAGGGTGCATTTCAAAGTACACATTTTACTCATCGTGCTAATGTGTAGATCTCATTATTATTTTATGACACAGGTATTTACTATTCCATTTGTTTTTATACTGGACTTAAAGCTCTATCATTCTGTCCACATGTTGCATTAAAGAGGCAGTCCAAAATAAGGGTGAAACATTGGCATTAACGTTGGCAAACGTTGGCATTACAATCTGTAATGTAGTAGATTTTCACATGATATACATCTGAATTTGACATCTAAGTTTAAGAAAAGTTAAAGAGCAATAACTACAAGGCTTTATAAAAATGTGTTTGTCACCTACTGTTTCAAAGGTCAAATGTGTTTTACTTTCAAATGTACAGTTGTTGTTCTTTGTAACCAATGCTCTGAACACACTCAAAACATCGATTTCATTTTTCATTTTCAACTCCCACATACATCTGATTTGTTTAACCCTTACACCCAGTCAATATACCCATTGGATGCATACAAATTAAAACCAATGAAAATGAATTTTAAAAATGAAAATGAAAAAAACATTATCTTTATGAAAAGGTTATACACAGATGAAGAAGGTGTCAAAGAGAGAAATTGCTTATTTTAGTCTTCATTAAAATGTTATGATTAATGCAGTTTAAAGGGGACCTATCATGCAAAATGCACTTTTGTATGTCTTTTATACATGAATATGTGTCCCCGGTGTGTCAGGGAACTCACCAAGTGTCAGAAAACACAACCCTCTCTCTTTTCCTCCATACACAAATCTCTAAAAACGGGGCTGCAACGGAGCTGATTATTATTTGAATTTTTCTGATGTCAGAAAAGGGGTGCTCCGCCTATATGGGCAACTCTCCACCTATCAGGGGAATGAGAGACCGCTCGAAAGCGCTGGAGACGCTGTAGTACATATGCCAGGCCTGTAAGTGGCACTGTAGTCTTCCACAAAAGCAGAATCAGCCCTTGCAAAAACAGGGCTGGAAAGAGCAAATAGAGCGAAATGAGGCTTGGCTAAAATGCATAATCTGTTTGGTATTTTGAAAAAAAACTTCTCACACATGTTTTATATAGGTATGGCCCTACAATATATGTTTCAAATATACCATGATAGGTCCACTTTAACTTTGGCTGAACTATGCATAGCTTCTCTGGAACCACGTTGAAAGAGACTATCAAGTTATTAAAAAGAGTTTTGTATTTTTTATATTTCCATCTCCACTAATTTACAGTATTTCTGCAACTAAGACCTTGCACCAAGGCCTCTCACTATATCGTTATCAACTTATCGTACAATATGGACAAGAACATCAGATCATTTTTCTATATTTTCTTTTAACAAAAGCAGTGATTGTGGCAGGCCTTCTCGCTGTGTGTTTTTTTCCATAGAGGGTGATTCTCAATGGCTAATCTCCAATTCCTCAACAGAATGCACTTGTTGCCATTAAACATAAGGAAATGTGAAGACTTTTAATCCTTTTTTAAGCTTCATACGGAAGAATGTGAACCTGCCTTATATAAACACAGTTGATTATGATAATAACACCCTCGCTGCTGTGATTGGCTGCACTGCTCTGTTAGGCCTGCTGCAGGGAGCAGGCAGTCCATAAAATACGTCACCCGCCTCCTCCTACTCCATTACCCACAGGCTATCCCCATGTCTGTCCCTCTACATTTGTCCGTGCTGTGTTGTCCCTAACCTGTAACAACGTCTGCTGTAGCCTACTGACACTATGTTACTGCTCTGTCCAACATGTATTGTGACATGTCTGATCCTGCTGTTCCCTCCTCTGGCTCAACTAAATCCTAACACTTACTCTCCCGCCCCGCTCCCTTCCTCAACCCTTCCGTTTTCAATGTAGCAAGCTGAGCAGCTATTCAGTCACATGAAAAATCCTGTAAGTCCCTCTCCTGAGCTCTCTGAGGCCCATATTGAAAGCATGAGGACCACTGATTTAGTCTTTGAAACATGCTAAATGGTGATCATGCCATCCGTCAGCGCAGGTTCTGCTTACACCTCCGAGCCACCAGACGCATGTTGATCATCACACCGTACTGATATAGTGAGCTTTACACTGCACTCAGAGTCCTGTGCAACGTACTCATCCTGCAACTGTTTGTGTTGTGACACATGGTGAAGCTGGTGCTTATTAAACAGTATTTCAAGATAATTCTGAACTTTATTAATAGTGGTCTGTAGCTGGTTTATCTGTTGCTAGTGTATTTAACTACAGTGTGTTTTCTTCTTCTTGCACATTAGTGAAAAAAAAACAGGTTTCGAAGTGTGAAGCTGACCTTTTGTTATCGTTTTTATAACTGAAATATGTTTAAAGACGACGGAGAAAAAATGTGGATTATAACTTTTTTTTGTCTTTTACAGAATACAATTCTGTGTATTTAAGAATCTCAGATCCAGGTCAGGTGTAAAATAGTTTCAAGGGGTGCACTGATAATCGATTTTTAAAGCTGATAACATCACGTGTATCTTTGACAGATTTTTGTTGAGTTTATAAGTACAGTAGCTATAGTGTGTTTTTACAATCTTTGAACACATCCTAAAAAGATCCTTGGCTTTCGACATCTTAAACGGCAGGCTGAATGGAGCCTAATTTCTAAATCCAAAACATTTATTTTAACAAGGTTATTTTGAAATGCCCTCACATGAATTGGTGGATCTATAATAACGATGTACATTTTTGCAATCATTGAAAGAAATCTTCCACAAGTAAAATCCTGACATCACTCCTCATGCTTAAAATATGAAACGTATTCTCCATTCTTTTGACTGACAATCACAAAGACTGTGCAGCTTCGTTGGGTTTGCATGACGTGGTCGACCTTGTTGCATGTTGTCACTGTTGGTGTTGCCACGCTTTCTTTCGTCACAGTGTGGTGTGGTTAGCTGAGGTGTCAGCCGTGGTTGGAGATCTCTGCAGTGTTTTGGTGGTTGCACTATGGCTCTGTACAACTTTGCACTTTTGCGACCTGTGTTGACGTGTGGCTGCATATTGTCTCGAGGGTGATGTGTACCACTGTAATGTACTTCATGAAGAGTTACAAACTGTTGCAATAGTAGTGAGATAAGTCAGTATTGACTAAGCAGTAGAGCTGTGTTTAGTTTGTCACAGAAAGAGACAGAATCACAATTTATCTTTCCACTGCCACTAATTTGTCACCATTTTTGACACAAGACACAAACACACACATACCCAATCCTGTATTCTGCACACTCACCAAGTGGGGGAAGTGTCTGGCAGTCTCAGAGGGCTGTTAAATGGAGCTAAATAATAGCTCTGTTAAAGCTAATGAGCCAGCACCAGCGCCCTTGTCCACAACATTTTACTCTGCTATATTCATTCAGAAACAGAGAGGGAAAGAGAGAGTGCAAGGGGAGTGGTTAATATAAGACAATGATGGACTGCAATGTACCGCGTGTATCTCTCTTCAGTGGGCAGTAAAACATGCTGTGCTGTGCTGCATGATTATCAATCAATCAATCAATGTTTATTTATATAGCCCAATATCACAAATGTTACATTGATGTTATAATGTTAACTGAGTGTATCTATGGTTGCGTGCATGTTTGTGTCTTTCTCTGGCACGTGGATGCAGAAGGCCCATGAGGTGGATCATCAGACCGGCCCCAGAGGGAACCCGGAGTACGTGGACCGAGTGAAGCTGCTGGAGAAGGAGATGAATTACTACAAGGACGAGGCGAACAAGTCTCAGACGGAGGTGGAGAGGCTCCTGGACATCCTGCGAGAGGTGGAGACTGAAAAGAATGACAAGGACAAGAAAATCGCTGAACTGGAAAGGTAATTAACTTTGACTGCTTGGACAAGTTGGCAAAAGTATTCAAAGGCATCTTAACCTTAAAGGTGGGGTAGGTATGTTTCAGAAACCGGCTCGGGTGCACTAAAATTAGAAAGTACACAGCCGAAAAGAATCCACCCCTTCCTTCAGACTTCCTTACAGAGCACCTCCTCCAACACACATGAACGCGCACATGACGTCAGCAGACTGGTGAAAGTGGCCGCCTGTTGCTGGCGAGTCATTGAAGTACTGCTGCAATGCACGCCCAATGAGGGCACGAGATACATTTGTGCGTGCACGAGATGGAAGGCTGACAGACAGGGCGGCAATCCAATCCGTTTAGCCGGGTACGCTAAACGGATTTACAGTATTACGGGTTCCACAGATGACATTTTTTTTATGGATTTTTTGTCAAAGCACTTCAGATATTCATTGCTATCGGGATGTTAAGAGCATTCCATGGAATATAACAAAAAGTGTATCTCGAGCCGGTTTCTGAAACGTACCTACCCCACCTTTAACTTTACACTGATGTTTCTGCATAAACATACTATCCTCTAACAAACCCCTTCTGGCTTTCAAACTATGATATACAATAATGCAAACATTCATTACAGGAGCACAACATGATTTAAAAAATCCAGTGATTTATTTTCTCTCTTACTCAAAGTGATATGTTGCTGCTGTGGACATACAGATAGTTATGGCTTTATCTGTATATTTGTTTTAAATGTTGCCTTATTGTTTGCATCACACAAAAAACTCTAAAACATTTATTTTGTAATTTGTGTGAATTTGTTATTATCCCAAATGTTTGTTTATATTGTATATATACATGTAGATAATTTTTTCTGTGGTGTTTGGTATCGTGAATTTGAGAAAGCACATTGTCTTGCACTGAACCCAGACCTGGTCTTACACTCAGAAATACACCCTTTGATGGACAATCATTTCAGCTGCTTGCTGAGACACACACAGAAGGCTCTCTGTTGAAGTTGTGACGCTATGTGAGATGTGATATTTGAACACAAAGTGCCACTCAATCACCCCCATAATGGAAGAGGTCAAACTGATTTCAGTTAATGGACCACATAAATAAAGCTGGTGGACTCATCAGCTCTTGGCTCACTTCTCAGTGTGGTACGTGGTCTTGAGCCTCAACACTAGAAGCTTTTGGCTTTGGTTCAGCTGTTGGAGGAAACCATCGTCATTCACTTTGGCTGGAATTTAAAATGATGAAATAAAGACTGAATGGACTGCATGAAAATGACACATTAGCTCTGTCTAGAGAAGAAAGAGAGCATTAAGAGTTGAGTAGAGCCAGTAGAGTACCATGCAGTGAAAATGTGGCTTTAAAAAAAACAGGGTCCATTTAATTTTTGTCTCATGCTCATTTGTTGGTGGTTTTCAATTAATTGACTGTTCTTTTCCTTTTTTGCCAACTTTACCCACTCTTTTCTATCCCTTTTACCTTTCTATCATCTGTTTCATGCCCACCTATCCCTTCTTCAACCTCTGCCATTGATCTTTTTTTCAATCGACAACTCAACCTTTTTTTAAATCTCTCCACCATCTCCCGGGCTCCTTTTCTGTTGTGCACCCCGACACCAGCCCCCCTTCCACTGCCCCTCGCCCCGCCTCTCGTCCCGGTGGCAGAGCTCCCCCTGACCCGCTCCCTTCAGTGTCCGCAGCCCCCCAGCAGATAGGGGGCATGGTGTGGGATTTCCTGGGAAAGTGAGTGCTCTGCCCTGGCACTTTCTGCTCGGCTGCGTGGTTAAAGTCTCGGACTGCGACTGCTGCAACTGCATCTGGTTACACCTGTGTGCCTGGGTCTGCCTGCTGTCTGAAGGATTCACATCACTTTGTATCAGAGTGACGGGCTTTTGGTGTTAGCGCTCTACTGCACACATGATGCAAAGATCCCTGGATTCATGTTTGCTTCTATTTATTACTCTTGTGTTTACTCAACGGTATGCATGTGTGCCATGAATGTTTTTGAACTACTCTGTGTGAGTGTGAGAGAGTTTAGGCAGCACGTTTATTATTTTTCCAAACTGCATGTGGCAACCATCATTAAAAGTCATCTTAGCCTGAACTGATGACAGAATGGAGAATAAAGTAAATTGACAAATCACATTACAATGACAAACCAGCACCACATCAAAAATAATTATTTATTTCATATGTGACTCAAATATTGTATGTCTTAATGATCCAAATTAATAACATGTTTTGAGTTCAGGATTTGTAATTCAAAGGCGTTCATATAGTATATTCTGTGCTTTACTTTGGATTGGCTTAACAGTAGACTTGACTTCATGCTTGGTTTGCTGCTGTGGCCTGCTTCTGTAATGATGCATAGTAAAGTCCCACAAAAAAAAAATCACACCAGGGATGCAGCAAACTAGTAACGACATTTCACAGATTTGACTTTGAAATGTTCACAGTTTTAACTGAAAGCCCCTGTCAAAAAGTGTGCAGAAATATGTGTATATATAGATATTTAATGCTGTAAATACTGCATATATACTGCATTAGAAGCGTGTTGTTCCCTACTCACCTTTCGTTTTTCATCTATTTTGTTAACTATGTTATATTTTCTGTCCTTCAGTGTGCTTTGTTAAGTGAAAATACACACTGACACACTAACAGACGCACACATTCACGTTTTTGTGTCTTTATGTGGCATTGGTTGTCTGTTGTCTCCTATACAAGATAATTCCATCCAGAGCTGAGGCCTCTTCTTGCTTCCTCAGCTCATTGTATCCACCCATCTCCCCCTTTACCCTCACACCCCTGACAGCCCCTCTCTCTTCTTGTGGTTTTTTCTCTTTGCCAACCTTCCTGCTCTCCTTCCCCTTCACCCTTCCAAGCTTGCTCTAACCGATACAAAGAGAAACAGCCTAGTGACCTGCATGAACAGAGCTGAGTCTCCAAGTCTACACACGTCTGTGAGTGAGGTGCTGTAGTAGGTAGGGTCTGGACTGAACCCTTAATCGTGAAGTGTGTCAGTCCAGTTGGGTCTTTTCTGTCTGAACCTCCCTGCATCCATGACTAATTCTCCCAGTAGCTCACTCCTTCTCCCGGTCTAACCACGGTTGGCTTTCCTTCCTATTGCTCGGCCACTCAGACCTGTCTTCCCTCTTCTTCTTTCGCCCTGCTGACTAGTGCCTGTCTGACTGCATGTCTCCAAGGTTTGGCAGCAGATGCACACGGTGCCGTAATTTCAGAGAAGGTGCATCCTGCATTATCTGTGTCAGGCTGCAGTGCAGTGGCTGTCACAGGCGACTCTGTAATATCCCATGCACAATGAATACACTGTGATCTCCTCGGGGTCCTCTGTACTGTTTTTTGTGGTTGTTTTTTATTTTGTGGATCTAATGTATCTTTTGTTTTGTTTTTTACCTTTCCTTTGTGTGCTCTCGTCTCCTCCACTTGTCGTCTCATATCTTTGTCTTCTACCTCATCCTCTCCCCATCTGCAGTCTAACTCCAAGGTAAGTTATGCCCCTCCCCACATTTCCCACCCATCTCTACCTCGATCCACCCTAACTCTTGTGCTTAATGTGATTCATTTCAGCAATGTCATTTTTACATGAAGCTATGAATTAATCTGTGATACTCATGTCTTGTCGCTGTCCCGGTCATCTTGTGATTGCTACCATTTTTTTTAAACAACATTCATTCAAAATGCACCTGACACGATCATCCATTACGCTTTACTTGTTTTCTTGTCTGTTTTTCATGTTTTTTCTTTTTGTTGTATGATATTTGGGAATATATTGTACCCTACTCACACTACTTACTGTACTTCCTATGCAACACTAATCCCTCAATAATATAATGCATTTTGACATTTTATAGTAAATAAATGTTGCAGCAACTACAGATTGGATCTCCGAAAAGAATGTATAAGCATGGAAATATCCTTAAAGTTTTATGGTTTTACAGACAAGGTGGCAAAGACCAGACCAAGAAGGGTCCAAATGTCAAACTGGGACCACAAGGGGACAAGAAGGGCTTAGGACAAGACCCTCGTAAGGATGGCTCCATGGACCACTTAAAGGTACGGTTAAGAAAGAACACTGTGTATTTACTATGTACTGTATGTAAAAAGAGGGACGTAGTCACCAAGACTTCATCGATTGGTTATTTGACTGCTGTTTTGCAAGCTCCAGTTATGCATTGCATGGCTGTCACTATTTCAGTTTTATGAAACAAGAAGGTGAAGAAAATTCAAATTTAAACACGGAAAAATACACTTTTAGGGACAAAAAGTTACTAAATGTTCTGAGGTGAAATGACACCGTGAATAGGTCAACGTTGTACGACCAGAATACGACAACAACCAACACAGACACCTTTTGTAGTGGCGACCTGTCAAAACAAATGCTGCTTTATCGTCTGTTTTACTATAAGTACGACCATACTTTACAAACTGAAGATCTTTCTGTATTGAACGAGACTTGAAACCGCTTCAAACTTGTTGGGGCCATATGTTTTGAAGTGGTTATAAATCATATCCAAAGTAGGGTCGATTTCTCATAGACTTCGCTATACTGTAATCAGACTTCTTTTTCAAATGGCCTTTTGCTGGATATTGGAGAAATCCAGGTTTAAGGCACTTCCACATTATCTCCCATTTCAGACCCAAAGGTTGCTGCTTGGTATTAACCGATGCTTCAACATGTTTTTAAGGAAACATGCGTCTTCATTTCTATGTGTCACATCTTGTGTGGATTCCTCTGTGATGCAGTTGGAGGAGCTGATGAATACGCTGGAAAGGACGAGGCAGGAGCTGGATTCCACAAAGCAGCGTCTCTCGTCCACACAGCAGTCCCTGCAGGAGCGGGACGGCAACCTCACCAACATGAGACAGGAGCGCAGGAAACAGCTGGAGGAGATCCTGGAGATGAAGTTAGTGCCATCATGACATATTGTCAGCTTCACAAATACATCAAATAATTTTGTGATGGCCACTTCTCTTGTTGTTTTTTCTGGCTAAGGCTTTAATTCATTACTGGTCTGGAATCTCAAATGTTCCATTAAAATAATAATAATTTAAAATACATTAACATACATAAATACAATAATTCCTAGTTTACATTTTAAATCAATTGAGCCTTTTCACTCCTATAGTATAAGTATATCCATTAAGTATCAGATACTAAATAAATAGTAGACAATAGTCCCACATATACAAATAAAATAAACCTCCTAATAACTTTTTCATGGATGAAATTTCCCAACGTTTAGAGTCTTTTTTGTAAACTTTTTTTTTAAGCAGCATCATGTTCATAAGTATTTACTTGCTCTTAAACAGTACCTGACATTAATGTAATTCATTTGATTGATTCGCTTGATCTGAAGTTTCTTTAAAGGACCCATGTCATGGCCATTTCTACTGATCATAATTCCATTGTTGAGGTATACTAAAATAGATTTATACTGTGCAATTTTCCAAACTCACATTGGTTTCTCATACAGCATCTCTGTATAGTATGTGTATTCACTCTCTGTCCTAAACGGCTTGTTGGAGCGTGCCCCTCCCTCCCTGTGAGCCCAGTGTGCTCTGATTGGTCAAGCGACGTGCAGCTGCTCGTGAGGAGCTGCTGTGAGGAGCAGACAGGGCTTCCGTGTCGGCGAAACAAATACAGCAAGAACAAGTGAAACTCATCCTGAGCACACACAAACACTCACAGCCGAAGTAAAAACAATACGTGTGGCTTGATATTGAATAAGAAAAAGGTTTGTAACGCTGTGAGAATGGGTCTGCGGAGAGCATTTCTCCGCGATCCCAACTTAGCAGTCCGAAAAACGTTTACCCATTTAAACAGTCGTGGTCGATACCTTGTTTGTTTTAAACATCATAAATACACAAACAACAATGAATACTTTGGGTTGTGTACCCGAATCTCCCGCTGGTCCAAACAAAGTAGGAACAGCATCGTTCTTCAGTGCCCTACGCTGTACATATCTGGCATGAATCGCTGAAAGGTTTGGGAAGCTTTGTTTCGTGAAAGGCTGGCAGAGGGTGCAGCCATAGCTCTGGGCGTGGCTACTGGGTATCCATACGTAGCGATACCCAGGAAGAAAATGAGAAATCTCCAACGAGGCGTTTTGGGGAGGTCTGTGTTAGAGTTTTACTCGCTACAGGGTGTACTTTGAGGGTTTTTGACTCTGCAGACCGTTTACATGCATAACAACCTTCATAACACACAAGGGGACGGGTAATAACCGGAAAAGCATGACATGGGACCTTTAATTAAGAGTGGATTTGGATGGCTTACCTGTATAACATTTATTTAATGTTCTTTCTAATTCAAAGAATATAAATGCTGATAACAAAACGTTGTTGTTTCTTCTTCAGGCAACAGGCTCTGCTTGCAGCCATCAGTGAGAAAGATGCTAATATTGCACTGCTGGAGCTGTCGACCTCCAATAAAAAGAAGACCCAGGATGAGGTGCTGTCCCTCAAGAGGGAGCGGGACAAACTGATGCACCAGCTCAAGCAACACGTTAGTATTGCAGCATAATGTCAATGAAAACTGTTGGCAACATTAATCAAAATGAAAAAGGCAACTAGACATGTTTTCCATTTAATCTACAGGGGGGTAGTGCACATGCATGGCCACTGATCCTCTTTGCTTGTTCAGTATGTCTCATTTTGCTGTATGAGTCAAATCTATTGTTACTGTGCAAGTCAAATCTCAAGTAATTCCATCCAAGTCCAACTCAAGTAACAAGTTTTCATTTGCAAGTCATTTGGGAGTTTTATCTGGCCATTAACATGCCATTTCATTTGAGCTTTGATAGTTTCCTATCAAAGCTGTGTTCATTTCCATAGCTGAGGTCAAATCCATTCAGTGCATAGGCCTAGTGATGTTAAATTCAAGGTGTGTTTACCAGGTCCAAACTTCAGTCTTAAATGTTTTTGCTTTCAAGCCTCAAGGCATGTCAGGTCTTCAAGGAGTCAAGTCTCAAGTAAGTAAAGTCTTGCAGCAGTTAAGTCCAAGTCTAATCTTAATCTTTGACTTGAGTCTCACTCGAAGTCTTAGATCTAAAGGAGGATAGGTCCCCAGCTGACCCAGAAAGCGACGCAGGTTCTGGTCCAGGCTCTCGTCATCTCACGCCTAGACTACTGCAACTCCCTCCTGGCTGGTCTACCTGCATGTGCCATCCGACCTCTGCAGCTCATCCAGAATGCAGCGGCTCGTCTGGTCTTCAACCTTCCTAAATTTTCCCACACCACGCCGCTCCTCCGCTCCCTTCACTGGCTTCCGGTAACTGCTAGAATCCACTTCAAGACAATGGTACTTGCGTACCATGCTGCGAATGGATCTGGCCCTTCCTACATCCAGGACATGGTTAAACCGTACACCCCAGCACGTGCACTCCGCTCTGCATCAACAAAACGGCTCGCTGCACCCTCGCTGCGAAGGGGACCCAAGTTCCCATCAGCAAAAACACGTGGGTTTGCTATCCTGGCTCCAAAATGGTGGAATGAGCTCCCCATTGACATCAGGACAGCAGATAGCTTACACACCTTCCGGCGCAGACTGAAAACTCATCTCTTTCGACTCCACTTCGAGCGATAGAATTACTAACAAAGCACTTATATACTAATAAAGGACTGGCTTACCTAAAGCCAGTTGAGTAGCACTTGAAATGTTTTTGCTCTATGAAACCTGATGTACTTATATGATTCTGTTTTCTTCAAGTTTGTATTTTGTTGGTCGAACGCACTTATTGTAAGTCGCTTTGGATAAAAGCGTCAGCTAAATGTAATGTAATGTAATGTAATGTAATGTAATGTAAAGGTCTAGTATGATTTATACACCAGAAATTCAGGCAGCAACATTACGGCCTCTTAATGTCTCTGTAAGTGGCCCTTTATTGCCATGATGTATTAATTAAAAAATAATGACGGTTAGACCTCTGTTTATTGTGATGTATGCTGCTTATTGTCAGTGAACTTCAACATGTTTTCAACCTGACTCATGAGCAGCTCTTCTTGTAGTTTATGTACAGTAAATAACACTAAAGTATGTACACAAATGATTATCACTAATCATAATGATGTAGAGAGAATGCAGTGAAACAGCATGATTAAAGACAAATTGTGGTTATAGTGTACATAGTCCCATGTCAACAAGGACTGACACTTAAAAGACCAGTTCAACATTTTGTAAAATATGTTATACGGTAAATATTAGTATGGAATGACTGCAGTCCCCAGGAAAACAGCTGAGAGTAAGGAAGTCACTGAACCCAACCCAGAAAGAGATTTAGCATAAAACTCACCTTGAACCACATCTTTGTAATGATGTATAGTAACACGTTAGTTAGTGAGCTGGGAGTGAATTTTGATGCTTTTGGACTTTTCTCGAGCTGTTTATCTTAATGCTCAGTTGGCAAGTGACTTTAGATCCGTATTTAGTGTACAGTGGTAGTGATCTACTGTAGGTATTTAACAATTTAGATTGTTCCTGTATTTTTTAAACCAAATCACAGTATAGTTCAAAAATGAATACAGAGATAAATCAACTTCAGTCTGAGAATAAAAGAAACACATACGCCTCAGTGTTGTTTGCATGGTTATTGCACTGGATTGTAAAACATTGTTTTTTTCACGCTTACCCTGTTGCTGCTTTGAACAACTGAATTTCCCCTCGGGGATTAATAAAGGTTCATCTTATCTTATCTTATCTTATCTTATTGTAGGTGTTCCTTGTTTTTATGTCAACCCAAATGTACTAAATGCTGTGTATTGTCCAGTCATTAACTCATTTGATGTTCATTGTGAGGGAATACTGTTCAGATCAGCATGCACTAACAGTCCTCTCTTTCTGCAGACACAAAGCCGGATGAAGCTGATTGCCGACAACTACGAAGACGAACAATATCATCCCCACGCTCCTCACCACCCCCAGCCTCAGCCTACCCATGCTCAGCCTCCCCATGCTCAGCCTCAGCCCCAGCCTCAGCCTCAGTACCCCCACCCTCCCCACGCTCCCCATGCTCCGCACGCTCCCCACCCTGCCCACCCTCCCCACGCTCCTCACGCTCCTCACGCCCAGCAGACTCCATATCCCAACACCATGCATCCGCAACACCCGCAGGCCCCCCCAACAGCACCCACACCCACAGCAGGCACAACCCCAATACCCTCACCCCCAGCAGCACCCCAATCAGCACCCCCAGCAGCACCCCAATCAGCATCCCAATCAGCACCCACAGCAGCACACCCAGCAGCACCCCCCACCACCTCCTCAGCACCAACAGCACCCACGACCCCCACAGCCCCAACACCCTCACCAACAGCACCCTCCCCAGCACCCACACGGACATCCTCCTCCCCAGCACCCTCACCCGCAGCACCCACACGGCCCTCCCCAACAAGGACCCCAACATCCACATCCCCAGCACCCCCAGCACCCGCATCACGGCCAACATCCACGTCACCCATCGCCCCATCATCGTGGAGGGCCGGCCCGAGGACCCCCACATGCTGGTCACCGCCCTGCCCAGGACCAGGTGAGAGGCCATTTGTTTTGTAGTTTTAAGTTAAAACAGTACTACAACTACTCCTAGACGTTTATAACATATTTTCTTTCTCACACTGCCTGCTGTTACAGAGAGGTTATTTGTTCAACTGTAACTCTGGTTTCTGTCTACTTCCTCCTCTTATGCAAATCCCTGCTGCTTGTGTGAAATGCTACCATTAGCAGGATGACGACGAGGGCATTTGGGCATAATCCTTGCTGTGACAACCAAAGCTCTAATATTGTTTTGAGGGGTGAGATATGTTTAAGATGTTATAACTTTATGATTCTCATTTTCTTCATGCTTTATAACTTTATAACAGCTGCATGACGCCTTGATTTTTGTAATCTCTCACATTCAGATGATTCAGTCACTACTGGAGTAGCACAGCCACGCCACGATGTTGAAACACTACCCGACCAAACATGTATTACCTTCACTCAGTCGACACTCAGCAATGGGACTTTTGTTTATTTTCTCTGGGGACGAGGAGGGGGCACTCAGGTGTGCAGGTCAGGCGGGGAGACTGACAGATGATCAGGTAATTTCCAACACATAATGTACAATGACACACACACAATGAATCTAATCAAAATAAATGTACAAACTTACTCTATTTAGTTTTTCTCTGCTCAAGGTGACCTGGGACCTCTTCTCTGTGTGAAACAGGAGCAGCCGTCCTCTTCTTCCTCTGTACAGAAACACAGATGCAGGACTACATTAAAATGATGTTGATACCCATAGAGACAGATGTGCCCTGTCAGATTCTTGCTTGAACATGGCATGTGATCAACATGGCAGCCCTACGTCTCACAGAGGTCACCTCACCTGTCTGTCACCTGCTGATCACTACACCTCTTCAGGCCAACAACGCCCTCTCCATCCACCCAGCAGAGATCTCATGACTGCCTGCCAGAGCCCAGTATTTGTTCCTCATCCTCCTCCCTGCGATGGATCAAGATCCTGGTCTTCTTGCTGTCTGTTTCTCCTACCCACTGATCCCTCTGGCTGGCTTCCCCACCTGACTCTGTTCTGGTTTCTTGATCCTCACTGCCCTGCTGACCCACCTGGTGACATCTGACCCCTCGACCTGGCTGTCATCACCCTCATGACTATTTTGTAGTTTTAATCATTTGATCGTGTCGATGAGCTAATTTACCCTTTGTGGCACACAGTGACCTCTTTTTTACCTTTATACATGCCAACACACAACACATCTGTTTAGAGGCACTTGCTTTTTCCACACACCAGATTAGATCGTTTTCTGTTTTAATTTCTTGTTGGTAAAAGGGAGAGCTTAAAGCTTGCTGATAGTATGCCTTTAGCCTTGCCTGCAGTGGTGGGGTTCCCTTGGCTACTGAAGCAGGGCCTTCCAGCTCATGGGCTTGTTATAGCCTCAAGGCTGTGGGTGCTATCAATGTTTCTCTTCATCTTACCTCATTTTAATCAAAAGTAGTCAACAAAAGAATCAATCTATGCAGAAGTCAATGTAGAGTGAATGCATTTTTATTCCCACATCCTTGCTCAAATTTATCACCAAAAGTGTAATCAACCATCCAATCAGAGCGGCCAAGAGAGGGTTAAAAAAATAAATATCATAAGTCATTTTACCTTTCCTTTCTGATACTATGCACCTATGCACCTCCTCCGTGTTGCAGGAATTTTTACTAATGGTGCTTCTGCTGGTGCTCAAACTAAATGGTGTCAGAAGACCTGGTCAAGAGCATCTTTTAGTCCTTTTACAGTAGAGGGACTTGATCCCAAAACGGGCTTCACAAACAACTGTAAGACTGCTTTGTACATACGTCTTGACCTTATGAACAACAATTACTTCAAGACCCACACAGAGGTGATGGTATGAAGAGTGCTACTATAAATACAGTATAGACTATAAGGTGGAGGTTCAATCGATGTTTTCCCCGCAGGTCTGGCTGTACCATTGACACCCCATCTCTGACTACAGTATGGTCCTGCTCCCCTCTCCGGTGTGACCACCCCAAACATAGTGACCTGTTTTCTCCTTCTCAACAAGGTGGCCTGTGCCTCGTAAAAACTGTACACAATATATATGATAGATATTCATATATATTATACATATAGAGAGAAATCTATAGTGTGTCTATATGTGGTCAGAAAATCGTTTCAAACTGACAAGATATATATGTTTTTTTCTTCATGGTTATTTTTCTAACTGGCTGGAGGTCAGTGAGATGTCTTTAGAGTGTTGAGTGGTGTGATTTTCCTCTGATTTGTACATTGTGAGAAAACCCTTCAGCAACAAGAAACATTCCCTGTCTGAAAACAGGACAGCCCAAAAAGAAAAAAAATATAAGAGCTTTAGAGCAGTTTGAGGAATAGAAGTATATCCAAATCTATTTAGAAGTGTATAAAATATGACATTATTACATTCCTTCCTTATGAAAACATTTAGTTGAACATCACTTGGCTTGTGGTGACAACTTCGAACAAAAAAAAGACTGAATTTTGCAGCTCACATCAGTAGCAATGAGATTATGGCTGCTGGACTAAAGCAGTCAGAAACTTGCACTTGTGAGTGATGACTATCACGTTTAACATCCAAGTAGAGGTTCGAGTGACTCTGTCGGGATGCATTTCTTTCGCGTGTTTGTCGTCGTTGTCGTCTTGTAAACAGAAGTGGTGACATACGTGACTGTGACAGCTGATCAAGTAGAAAAAACAACTCGCATTATATAGTGAAAATTGAATTAGACTGTTACAATCCCCTACTTCCTCTCCCTCCCTTCATGGTGCCTGTGTCTCCTTTATATGGCCAAGTGTTGATTGTTGTATGTAAATGTCTTTCCATCTACCCATCTTCCAAAAAGTATGTGTCCGCTTCACCTATGAACCTACACACATCCTGTCACTGACCAAGAATCCATTGATGTGTGAAACTTTCGTGGTTGTGTTTACAAATGTTAAAAGAAAGGTCCTGATTTGGAATTTTCTTTTTATGGGAAGGCAATGCAAACAGACAGGAGCAAAAATCCTCTCAATCCACCATCGGGGGGCCGAGTGCAATTCCCCGACTTTCAGGTCCTTATCTTTTGAATACTTGAAGTAGGGGGTTCTCCTAATACCATATATGATTTACATGGTAGAACACATGAAACATTTTAATTGTGCGCATGCATGCTGAATTTTACATAACGTGCCAACTGAAAGCGACGACGTAAGGATAATCTCCTGTTCTCTATGCAGAGCGATTTCTCAACTGTTGTGTCAAATAAAAAAATGGTAGGAGACACAGAGGCTTAGAGGCTGGGGCTTGTTCCCTGGGTTTAAACGAAAGACTAATCCTGGGTGTGAAAAACGAACATCGCACTCAGTGTGAGGTGGAGTCAAGAAGTCAAGTCTGTGGCTGGAGGCAGCCGTGTAGAAAAATACTTGAAAGGCCTGTAGGTTCACCAGTTATTTTCAAAAGGCCTTTGAGAAAAAAGTATGAAAAGCCTAACATTTTCACTTTATCGTTGTATACAGGTTGTTTTTCTGTAACTGTATGTTGCTGAAAACTTTGGATTAAACAAATCACTGTGACCAATGCCAGAAACATTTTTTTGTTTTGACAGAACAAAAATTGTTTACATTTTTATTCTTCATTTTTTGTATTTAAGTTAACTTAATTTTGTCTATGGTTTAAGCTTATAAAATATGCCAGTTTGAGACTGTACTATTTGTATAAGTAAATGTTTTGAGCTGTAAAGTAAAGATCTAGGAACACGTTAAATGTGAGTGTCCAGCATGCTGAATGATTACTTGTGTGAACGTGAGCTAGCCTCCCATGATGCATCATTCCTCATTCATTACTTGCATCTGCATCGTGACGGTGTGATGTTGTGTTTGAGAGTGATGTGTGTCTCACTTACTGTGTCCCCTTAGTAGACAGCCTGTGCAGTTTTGTGAGAGTGCAGCATGATTTTGGAGTTGCTTGTGTAAATGTATTCAGAATAGAGAAAGGAGTGATAGTGAGTGTGTGTGCACATAGCTGCTTTCATGGATGTGGGTGTGTGTGTCATGAATGCATAAGAGAAAAATCTATTTAAAAAACTTTATCAGAGGAAGTCCATGGAGAAAAAAGAGAGAGACTGAGTCAAAGTTTTGAATGAAGCATGGATACTCTGTGATGTTTTCTGCTTCTTTTTTTAACCCTCTGAGGCTATCCTCAGCTCCCCAGTTTGCTATTGTATGTGATGTATAACAGAATACTACTATTGAGTGTTGGCCAGCTTGTTTATATCCATCAAATAAAGGTGACTTTCTTTCTGTCTCTGTTGGCATTTTTCTACTCCAGGGATGCAAACTCATCAGGTATGAAAAAGGTGACAAGGATCCGAGCCCCCCGACCCCACGGAATTTCGGCTTTAAAATGAGGAATAACAGGATTTTAGCAGTCAGAACAACTAAAGCAGCAGTTAATAATAACGCCAAAGAGTCCCATCTAATAGAAATATATAAAAGCATTTATTTTAATTGTGTAGCAGTCAGTTTATAATTTTGGCAGCACTGTTGAGCATTTTGAAAATGTATTTTCATGCCTCTGTGCAAGGCTTAGTCTTTGTATCTGTATAGCCACTGGTGTAAAGTAACTAAGTTCATAAACTCAACAAGTACTATACGTGGGTACAATTTTGAGATACTTGTACTTTATTTAAGTATTTCAATGTTTTGCTACTTTGTTCTTCTTCTCCACTACAGTTCAGAGGTAAATGGTGTACTTTTACTCCACTACATTTATGTAATACCTTTAGTTACTTTACAGACATGGATTAATGATGTGAAATATAATCAAGTCTTAAATCAGACTTTAGTTCCACCTGGAGTAAATTCACAAGCTACCCTGCAGTATACAAAGTCATTCAAACTAGCTGCATCTTTACCAGCTTTGAGAACACTTTCATGATCAATCATTATAACACATATCATATATATTATTCTGAAATGGACCAATCTGCACAATGACTACTTTTACTGTCGCTACTTTCACTATATTTTGATGAGAATACTTTTCTACTTTTACTTGATTAACATTTTGAATGCAGAACTTTTACTGTAACAGAGTATGCCTACACTCTGGTACTTTTACTCAAGTACAAGACCTGAGTACTTCTACTTTTACTCAAGTAATACTTTTGTACTTTTATTTGAGGAACATTTTGATTGCAGGATTGTTCCTACATTCCTGGTACTTCTACTTTGACTCAAACCTGAGTACTTGTACTTTTACTCAAGTAGCCTACAAGATTTGAGTACTTCTACCTTTACTAGAGTACTTCTACTTTTACTCTAGGACAAGATCTGAGTAGCCTACTTCTACTTTTAATCAAGTACAATATCTGAGTACTTCTACTCTAGTACAAGATCTGAGTACTTCTACTTTTAATCAAGTACAAGATCTGAGTGCTTCTACTTTTACTCAAGAACAAGATCTATACTTATACCACCTCTGTTTATACAGGTAGCTGAAAAAAACTATTAGAAAACGAAGGCTAAAGCTAACGTTGGTTAGCAGATAGTGACAATGTATGCTAGTTAGCCAGCTCAACGATAATATTGCGACAGAAAAACTGTTCAGTTCACATCACGCTCTGCCGCTCTGCTCTGAACACCTGAAAGACCCGTTCTAACAGCTGTTCACCAGCGGTCCAGTCTGTGCCACAGTGACTCCCGACCACACAGTTAATATTAACGAACGCACCCGTAGGTAATGTAGCTGCTGAAGCTAGACCATCATCGCGGCCGCAGATTACTCCGGGTCTCAGACCCCCCCATACCCCAAAAACATTTTTATTGCAGATCTACATGAATCACAAACACGACCTATTTTGGATTCAAAACGGCGAATTTCGCCGAAAGGTGACAAGTTTGCATCCCTGTACTCAAATCTTAATTATAAGTACTTTCTAGTAATACTACGATCATTATATGCAACTGTTGGATAGTGCAAACACGATATACTATATTGTAGAACAGGTACAAACTTTATTTTTCGTGAATACAAATACAATGTCATTGATACAGTATTGGGAGAAAATCCAAGCAAGCAGTAAATTATTTTTAAATCTATGTATAGTTAATAACATTTTATTTTGTTGGCACCAAATACCAAAACAAGGCATCTAAAGCTAGAAAAATGTCTAACACCATAACAACTTTCTACTAAACCTTGCAGTCTTCCAGTAACTGGAGATTGTGTTGACAACAGAACCAACTCAATCCACAGACTGTAAAATAAGGTTAAGAATCTCCAGACTATAAACTGGTAGGTGTGCCTTAAATAAAGGTTTGTCAACTACATTTTTAAAGGTCAAGAATAAACAACCACATTCCTTTTGAGAAGCTCGGTACCACAGACTTAATGAAAACTCAAAACATGTAAAGAACATCCAAGCCAGTGGGGGAAAGACAAATATGTAGTTAGCGGAGAGAAGCTGCAGGGACAGAGAAAAGTGTCACTTCTCCAGGTTCATGTAACTAAAACTTGAATTTTATTAAAATGTTTCCTATTAAAAGGAAAGGTTGGTTCTGCACAAACACCTTAAAGGTGGGGTAGGTAATTCACTTCAGAAACACTTGTTATATTCCATGGAATGCTCTTAACATCCTGATAGCAAGGAATAAATTAAATGCTTTGACAATAAATATATATAAATATTTCATCTGTGGAAGCCGTGGCGCTGTAAAAAGCAAGTCCAAATATCTGCCTCGGCCCGCGGCAGATAATTGGATGGCCTACCTGCCTGTCAGCCTTCCATCTCGTGCCCTCATTGGTCATGTGCGCATTCGTGTGTGTTAGAGGAGGGGCTATGTAAGGAAGTCTGAAGGAAGGGGCAGATTTGTTTTCGGTTGTGTACTTTCAAATTCTAGCTTACTCGTTTTTGAATAAATGCTGGTTTCTCCGTTCTTACCTACCCTCAAGTATTTTTTACATTTTTGTTCATGATAGTTCAGTGCTTAAAAGTTTGCCACAACAATTTCTCTAACTGAGAGCAAAGAGTGACAAATATGACCATCTTTCAGAGCAAAATACTTTCATATCAAAAACTAATATTGTTTATAACAAACGTGAATGCGCACGATTCAGTTGCATTTTCTGAACAGTGATTGTTTAATTTGCTGGCATACAGCATGTACTATTTGTGTTAACGTCCGCTGACAAAGTTGTTTAACAAACGGTCCCCCCTGTCAGAAAGCCAGTACCCTGCCATGGCTGCCACTGCCCCCATAAATACAGATGTGTAGACCATATCTCCTTTGGCAGCTAGTGTGGCCAGAGCACAAAGCACCACCCCGAAGAACATCTGCTGCAGCACCTCTACCTCGTCGTCCTGGATATCCTCAAACAGACCTTTGTCCTGAACGCCTGCACAGAGAGGTACACATGTGAGAGGCTGCAGTCAGGTGAGGTGCATGGGATTGTGATAAGACTCACGAGGCTGCTGCTTCTTCACACAGACACCATCTTTGTGGATGAATGCCTCAGCACAGTCACAGCGGAAAGAGCCTTCTGTATTGGTACAGATCTCATCCAGACCATGGCAGGCAAGTACCCTGTCACTGCATTCATCTATATCTGAGAGAAACAAGGAGAGCTTCATTATGCAATCTCATCTGGAGCACAAAATCATTCTTTCAAATATTATGTTTAAGGTATTCACCCAAACATTTGGACCCTGTCAGTGAGTACCCAGAGGCACACTTCCTGCAGCGTGCTGGTCCACTGCCCATACAGCCCACACAGGCCGGGTCGCAATCTGAGGAAAGAGTGATCATTACATTTATTCATTTACAAAACAAGGCTTGATATTGCCTGGGCATTGATACATGATAATATATGTTAAAAACATAAAATTAACTAGTGAAAGATTTACATTTTATTTTATATTCTCAACTGGTTGTATGTAAGGAAACCAACTTTGTGTTTGTGATTAAACTTAGTTTCTCACTCACAATATCATTAACTGACATTGAGGATATATTCATATATTTGGCTGTGTTTGGTTGAGCTATACTGATGACTTTTACCTCCTTTTGTCCGTTTTGGGGCTCTATTTCTAAGTATATAAATCAATAGAATATAAAATTAATAGATGGATAGGATATATATAAAGGATATATTTGTTAGCCCTGTATCAGTCAAACAATGTAATATATTAGCTGGCTTCAACCTCACAAAGGTAAGGATTTACTATTTTTCTGTAAATTGAATATCTTTAGGTTGTGGGCTGTTGGTTGAGCTAAACAAGGTGTTTGAGGATGTCTTCCTAACCCTCTGGTAAATTATGATTGATATGTTTCCACTGTTTTCTGGCATGTTATGTTTACTTTATTCAGTTATTTATTTCATTTGGTCTTAATTATTTCTATAGAAGAAGGTAACATATTGAGTATTTTACGCAGATTGTAGACCACTGACCTCTGCACTCAAACGAACCCTGTGTATTGAAGCAGTATCTGTTTGTAGGACAGATACCCAGCTCAGTGCCACACTCATCAATGTCTGAAACAGATCAAAACACGCATTCATTAAAATTTAGAACATTAGTCTGCTTGTCCTATACCAAACATAAATGTGAAGGTAAGCTCTGCACAGTACCTACACAGGTGTTATTGTGGAGTGTCCATCCTGCTCTGCATTGCTCACACTGGTCATGTTCTGGGCCTGAACACTTGCTGCAGGAGTCTGGACAGCTGAGCACCTGAGCAGCCAGCAGACCACACAGCCACGCAGCCTGCAGAGGGTTCCTGTGGAGCGTCCTGACTGCCATCTGTTCCATTAGGTCCAAAATATCGCAGTTTAATCCATCTATAAGCTGTATGTACGTTTAAAGCTAAGAAGCAGAATTTACATTAACAATACAAAAAGAAGGACATCTTCGTATAATTGTACATCTGTTCAAATATAAATATAAAGAGAGACGGCTAGGAATAGGTTGAACTGAGTAAGAAGACCTTAAACTAACTTCAATGTTATGAGCAATTTAGGTGGTTTACATTTTAAAGTGAGATGATAAACAAAAACATAATACACTAAAAACAAACATAGACTTCTAGCTATTCATTTTTGTTATATTCAGTTATGTACACAGTCTTACTTATGTTGGCAGAGTTTGTTCAGTATATGAGATTGTTGTATGCATGCAGATTGTGTGTATAAGCATTTGGTATATGTGTAGATCTTTCTTTTTTCCCCTCTAATACATGTAAAGCACATTAAGTGTCACGGGTGTACAAGGAGTGGACCCAAAAGCATGAATGCAGACACAGGATTCAAGTATCAAAAAGAGTCTTTACTTGAAAAGCAGTTGTATAAAAAAATATAATGAATAACAAAACCACAGGATCAGCAGATCCACAAAAATACATACAATGATAAATCGACACTAAATGCTTACCTAACAAATAAACTAGAAAAATACTTCTACCTGATCTTACCTTACTATAATTACTAATATGAACAATAACCGTAACGATAACTTAGAAGAGTTTGGAAAACGCTGGAGAGTTTGGCATAAGACACAAAACAATCTGGCAACAGACAGGGAGACAGGACACTATATAAGTGGACACAGGTGGAAAACAATCAGGGGCGGGGCAGACACTGACGATGCGGGAAGAAAAGGAAACAGGAACGAGACTAGAGAGGCTTCTCAATACTCAAATTTCCCCTCCTCGACTGCTCGACTCCTCGGTCCTCCGGTAGTGACCCGGAAATGAATTTCAGCGCACCATTTTGAAGGACGTCTCATTTCTCTAAATGCACACCGAGGACCGAGCATCGAGCGTCGAGGAGGCTCTCTGGAGGAGCTATAACCGAGGATACACTGATGGTTCCTCCACGGATGCATTTCCGGGAACGGTGGAGGCGTGACGCACGGCCGGACTTATCTCAGCCAATGACAGCTATGTATGCATCCCCTGGATATTATTTTAGAAACTGCTTTCATCGCGTCGCGATGTTTCCAGAGAGAACAGCTGTGAGGTCCGTGCAGAAAGCAGAGCAGTGTGTATAATATATATCACTCAGTATAACAGGCCTACTCTCTTTATTTGCTTTAGTTTAGTAGATATCTACATACAAAGAGTCGATATTTTTCTAAGAGCATTGCTTCACATAATAAAATACACAACGGCTTATGCTTTAGGAGCTGTAGGTGTGTGTGGTACAGTGTGTAGGTGTGTGTTGTACAGTGCGTAAATGCGGCGGACAGACGGGTCTCAGTTGGTTTGGTGTCCTCTGCTTACTTTTAATAGGCCTACTTGTAAATACAATTTTTGGCCCGTAATTTCAATTCCCCATTTCAGCGACCAGAGAGAGGGGGGGATATATCCAGTCTCTGATTGTGTTACGTTATTATGAGAGTGCTCTCATACTTTAAATTGTATATATTTATATAAATATATTTGTGTGTGTGTGTCTGTAGCCTGTTATTGTCTCATTATACCGCACTCTCAATGAATTCAAAGTAAATATGTGGGGGAACAATGTTCAGCTGATCTAACAGAGATACAGCGCTATGACAAAACACTCGACAGCTGATGTAGCTGTTGCCACGTAATAATGAACGGACGTCTCTTTAAAATGACCGCTCAGAGGAGAGGAGTTCTCGTTTCTTTAAACGTCTGCTGCTTCCCCTCCTCGGTCCTCCGCTCGCATCTCCTGTGGGCGGGTCTAAGTCTCGAGGAGGGGAGTCGAGGAGGGGACATTTGAGTATTGAGAAGCCACTAAGGTGATTACAAAATAAAACAGGAAGTGAAACATAAAAAACTAAACTAACAAAAAACATTTAACACAGTTGCCAACGCACAACATTAAGTTTATTGGTAGAAAAATGTGCTCGATAGAGCAAGCTGTATTGCCTTCTCTACATTTACCTGACAGCTAGATTCAATTTTACAAACAAGCACATGACCTGCTTACAAAGTTTGATGCATTGTTATAGACGAAATTAGTATATGGGGCATTCTACCGAATTAGTGCAAAGTGTGGTACCACAACAAGAAAAACTATTTAACAAAACAATTAAGTATTCAGACATAGATATTTACTGTTGTGGAAATAATTATCATCATCAATTATCATGCCAATTTGTAACATACAGGACAAACCTCGATGTCTGTTTACCTTCTTTAAGGACACAGGCGGCTTAGCCAATAATGTTATTGTTCCCATTCTGTGACCGGTCAATACTGGGATACAGATGGTCTGTGTTGTGGGTACACTGGGACACTTCCTTCTCTGTATTTGTGGACTCCAAGGTAAAATCTTCGAGGTCATAAGTGTCCGAGGCAAGTAGCTCTGTGTTCCCACACTGTTTAGGCTATCTCCTCAAATATGTTGTTTACTCTCTGCGAAACCAGTTAGATGGGCTGGCAAGAGAGAGGCTCTCCAGAATTGACGTGGCAACTCTACCGTGAAGTCAGAACCTCTGACTCTTGGACTTGTGATGTGAATCCTCCGGCCGTTAACTCCAAATAAACCATCATGTGTTTGACATCAAAGCTACTGCTCTTCCCGTGTCTCCTTCCTGAGTCGGTGACTCCCACTGCATAGCTACACAGAAGTTTCCACTACATTTACTAAGAATATGTTATGGTCTATTTAAACATAAGGCATTAAAGTATATAGTGATAAGCTTAATATATACAAAAACATAATTTATAGGGTACTTTAAGTAGCTGTCCCCAACCCTGACATCTAAATTCCAATTTCTGTGAATAACACTTAAAAACATTTTTATTTTATTTTGTTCAATGGTGTATTTAGAAGATCTTTATGATTACATTCAAACGGAAGTTGGAATATTTCGATTTATTGTGGGTTTCATTTTTTAATAAAAAAACTATACTCAAAAAATCATGTCCCCAGTTTTCATGTCACTACCGAAACACAAGGTGTTTTAGTCCAATGGCTGAGCCTGGTTTTTAGCCACACCCCTGCATTTTTGACTAGTCAGTGACACTGCATCCCTGTCCCTCATGGCTGAATGGCAAGTAGCTATATCCCATACTTTTGATATAAATCTGTTCCAAAATCTGAAAATCGGCGTGTAACCTTAAGAATTGTCACTACCAAACACATATTATCTTCAATTAAGTAAACTTTTTCGGAGTTTTATGCAAAGCATTATGTTTTTATGTGTGTTAACCTCTTCAAAAACGTGTATGCTTGCCAAGTACTTGCTAGCATTATTTTGTTATGCTCAATTTTTGCTAGAATCGTCACTACCAAAACAGTCACTACCGAAACATATGGTTACGTTTCGGTAATTGACATGATCGTTTCGGTAGTGACAAAATGGAATGGTAAGCAGGTAAATCCCATAGTTTTGAAATAAATGTGTTTTAAAGTCTGAAAATCAGTGTGTTAATTTAAAGGTATCCTATTGTACTATTTGTAGGCATATATTATAGGTGTCTCAGATATATAAAATACATGTCTATTAAGTGTTTTGCTCAAAATACCAAACAGATCACCCATTCTAGCCTCATCCCCCTCTATTTCAGCCTGTTACTAAAGTGCTGATTCTGGGTCAGTAGCTTCAAACATTCACACTTCAACATAAGGTTGAGGGAATATGATACAACCTTGAGAACAAAATACTGCTGTCACTACCGAAACATTGGATGTTTTGAAGTATATTGACTTATCAACTAAAATGATATGATACTGATTGGTTTAATGTATGTTCAATTTCAACAATCAAATCATCAACTCTGGAATCAATATGATCAGTATTATGCATTTTACAAAGAAAGTCTGCATTATGATTTTTATGGATTGTATAAATTGAACTTTGAAATTTGATTACAAAATTAATTTGATTGATTTAATTGTGAAAAGTTAACCCTCAATACATATGTTAAAATACTATTTAGAGAAGGGAAGGTAAAACAATCTTAACAGGTTAATATACAGTAATGCTTTTTTACTACAGTGTTGTATGTACTATGTTTCGGTAGTGACCATTTTTGGTAGAGGAAGAACATTCCAATACAGTCTGAAAATACGATATATAAAAATGTACGGTTATTTTACTAGATATGTGTAATTTAGATATGGTACAACTACAACATATATATGGACAAAGTTATGGGAAAAAAACATACATTTCAAAACATTTCCAACCTGACTTTGCACCAATTCGGTAGAATGGCCCATAAATAAAGGTTAGCTTCACCATAAACACAACCATTAAAAAGATGCTTAAATGCTTCACATTTCACTCTGATTTACTTTGCAATTTCGAAATTAATTAAGCTAATAATACTTAAATAGTGCTACATTTATATTATGTAAAAGCACAGCAACCATTAAGATGTACTCAAAACAAACGGTAGACATGCGTTAAGGGTTTATTTACCTCCTCTGTGTGCGTCGACTGACTCACGGACTGACTCTGCACTCTGTCGGTCTTAATAAAGTTTAAAAAGGGTGAATACAACTGACACACAAGTTATCACACTTCAACACTCCTTCGTGGTTTGATGCCAAAAATAAACCAAACATCCCGAGCGGGTGGAACATCGAGTTGCCTCATAGCACCGCCCCTCTGAGATGTAGTGAACACTTTTAACAAGCGCTCCTCCACGTCTTTAAACTGACACTATATTGCACCAATCAGATCCACAGCCCTTGACTGGAGATGGCCAATCAAAATCTGACATCCACCATGCACAAAAATAAGCACAAGTATTTATAAACCAGTGTTGACAGACGGACAGCACATGGATATGATACATCTGTTACATTTGAGGTTAAATATTATGAAGCATAGGTCTGAGGATGTTCTACATGTTTCTTCTTATAAAAAAAAAATTGGTTTAATCCTTAAACAAGCAGTGTGTGTAAAAGTGTAGCCGAAACTTGATATAACGTATTCCTCTACCGTAGTAGACCACAGTTTTTGGCACAAAACATTAAAATCACAGGTCTCCCACATTGTAACATTTAACTTCATAACAATGAACATTCAGTCCTGTTGTTGTGCTCCCTATCTCTGTTTCTTATCCTATATCAGAACTGCTCGGGTCTTGATAGATTGAGGGAAGTTCATGAGATCTTTTTTAGAGGGTTATCAAGAATAACTTTTATCCAATGACCTTTTCCCTCTCTGTCTGTGTATTCTCTTGTTCTGATTAACCCAGCCAAATCTTTTTTCTTGTTCTATATCTACGCCGGGATCCGGAGTCGAGGCTGACCCTCTTGCTGTAGTCCTGTGTCCTGGATCTGGATTAAGTCGTGGATTTCGGGTCGTGGCTGAACCTTGGGTCTCATCATGCTGCTTCCCTGATGGCTTCCACAGGATTGTAGCTGACATCCTCGTGGATTCATCTTCTTATTACAGACACATGCATTTCCTAACATTCTGTCTATATGCTGTCAAATGTATGATCTCTTCGATTTACACACGGCATCTATTGCACGTCTGTCCGTCCTGTAAGACCGAACAGTACAAGCTTCTTGAAGAATATGGGTTGTTTTAACCCAAACATTTATAAAAGTTATTTCACCGCAAATGTTCTGATGACTATGAACTGATTTGTAATATTGTGTATACAGTATTCATCCACTTTGGGTCATATTGGGGATTGTACTCAAATGTTTTTACTGAATCTGTCTGTCGTCATCACGTATGTGCTCCGCCCCCGACGTGCCTCACTGCCTCACTGCTCTCACCGCGTTCATTCATTTGAGTCCGCCATTATAGCTCATCTCGGATGAAATCACTCAAACTCAAACTTCCAGAAGTATACTTTGCCCACCGTGCCCTCAAGTCTCACTGCCGGAATTTGACCGCGCTACCGCGGTAAGTTACGTCTTGCCTTTGCACAGTATTTAAATGATTTGTTATTAATTTCTGCATCTAATGCTCTTTGTGTCGCATGGTGTGTTAGTTTGATTTGAGCTCTTGTTAGCTAGCCTAGATTTAATATCTGCCTCACTTGAAAAATGATTTAAACCTGTAAGACAGTATTTTATATTGCTTTAAGTTATATCTCAAAGTGGAACGTTTGTGTTGCAAAAGTTCTCCGGAAAATTCAAACCACAAATGGCGGGAGTTTTTTTTCTTCTCTTTTGTTACTGCATGCAATGTATGGTCATATTTGATTAACTTAGAGGCATAGAGAATTTAAGTTCATTTCATCCACTACAATTACCATAACCGTGCGTTCTGCATGTTTGTAAAAGCAAGCTAACTTGAAATACTAGACTATTAATTTTACAAGAGGCGCATTCACACTGCGGTACTTTTCCCACAAAGGTTCATGTGAACTTAGTTCATGTGAACTCTTTAGTTCGCATGAACTAAGTACAGATCGCGTTCACACTGGAAAAAGTCCCTGGGGGTGGATTACGGCCCGTCTACACTACAGGCGTCAAAAAATGCTTTCAACGCTTCGCCCATTCATTTGAATGGGGTGACGTAGGATATTTTCAAACTTCGCCGAACTGCATTGTGGGTATCATGGCAAGGCGTTGCAAGCATCGCGAGCGTCTATCGGCGTCAAAAGTTGAACAATGTTCAACTTTTGAGGCTCGATGCTTGCTCGAAGCTGGCGTCAGCCAATCAAATCCCGTTTTTGAAATTCCCGCCAGTACAAGCGCTAGCCAATCAAACCGCGTGCAAGCTGGGAGAGCCAGACCGCAGTTCATTTCATCATATTCCAAAGGAGAAATTACGGTAGCAAATCACCCGGTTCTTTCCGACCAGAACTATTTACCGGGATACAAACCGGAGGAACCAGGCATGGAGGGAGGTGGCAGAGACAGTGGGTGAAACTGGTAGGTTTTCGCCTGTTTGGGGATTTTATATCCAGTTTACTTCGTTTTAACATTGCTATTGCTTTGTATGTCGGGGGCGGGAGATTCATGTGATTGGTTGTTGGTCGCGTTGCTCGCAAAAAATCGCCAAGCTTCAGACACGCCCAGCTTCAAGCTTTTTCGATGCCTGTAGTGTAGACGGGCCGTTAGGCAAATGAAGCCGCTGACGTCACTTGTTCTTCTTCTGCTTTGGGCTTACTGGCAGGCCACAAACCACTTCACGGCGTATACTGCCGCCCAGAGCCCTAGAGAGATAAGAGTTACGACACTCCCATAGACCTCCGTTGTAAAAAATGGCGGCGCCTACTTCCGGGGTATGGACATCAAAATAGTTCAAAATATTGTCATTTGGGCGTTGAACCTCATTCACTTACATTACGGCACGTCGATTAGTTCCAGAGGTAAGTTGCTGAAATATCGAACTCTTTTGAATTGTCAACTGTCTATATTGTATCAGAGGCCCTTGATGATGCTTATACTGGTCTTCATTTGTATATGCACAGCGTAATTATCTATATTTGATCTTGGTTGTTACAACCAATTTAGCTAGCATTGCCTGCTAGTTAGCTAGCGCGACTTCGTCAGCTTTGAAGGTAAGATTTCAGTAATGAATCGCTAGCAGCTTATATATCAATGATGCTGGGTAACTAACAAGCAGGATTTAGATTGATTATGTGTTTTTATTGTTATTTTGGTTTTTATCCGCTGAACCTGACCGTGTCAGCCATCCTTAGTCGGCTTTTTCTGTATGATATGACTTAACTGCTAGTACTAGTAGAAATGAGGTGGCGTTTGTGATAAATATTTCATTTAATATTTCATTGAATTTTGGGATATACTAACATTTCATTATGTGACATGTTGACTGTACTTTTTTTTTTTTGGTACTGTTCAGTGTTAACTCATCTGTACTGTACAACTAGCCTAGCACTACTCATGCTTGATGGCATGCTAGAATAGATTCCTTTGTATTGTAATATACACACTAGTTTAATGATTGTTCTTCAAAGGTATTATTCAGTCTTAAACAAGTAATAGCCTACTGAATAGGCTACTCTACAGCAGTGAATGAAGGATGAGCCTAAAACATGGTCATGCATCCAAAATGTTTATTTGTAACTAAATAAACACTTTTTAAAAAAAAAAAAAAAATTAGCACTTTTTTTTTTCACCCACAGTGACAACGCGCAGAGCATATTGGAACTCTACAGGTGTTGGGACAGAGTTCCTCAGACGAATGGACGAAAATGTGTTTTCCAGGCAGTCTTGAGTGAAGCGGCTTGTGAGAACAAATGTGTGCCCTTGTCTCAACAGGTCATGCTGGACCTCCAGGATTGTTGTTGTGGCCATCACCAGTCCTGTCTGGACTGGTTTCCAGCTGCCCTTGGGACCGATCTTCAGGCCCCGAAACAGATGGATGGAGTCCCGGAGGAAGCTGATGGCCTTATACTCCTCCATCTTGAAATGACTTAGGGCAGTAACAGTGTTGCGTGACGACATGAGGTCAAACTTTTTGGTGTCCAATGTTCAGTCACTGTATTGGTAAGCAACAATTTGTTTTGGTCAAAATGTGTTATTCACACTCCTGACTCCAGTTTGATGTGCTGCATTCTCCTCTGAGAGGTCATGGCTGGGAAGGTTTTATATTCTGTAGTGCAGGGGTGGCCAACCAGTCAGAGGTTAAGAGCCACATTTTTTCTATGTTACTGCAAAGAGCCACATCAAACACACAGTCACTGATAACGCTTGTTTCAGTTTTTTGTTTTCTGGAGACAAGATGTCAACCACGTCACTGATGCATCTTTGTGGCATTGGGATATATATTTTTTAAATCCTCTGGAGCAGAGAGAGGAGCTGTGGATTATTGTTATTGATTATTGCATCAGTGTTTCTTAGGGTCAAAAACACTAAACTCACAACTTAAAATGAAAGCGTTTAGTTTATTTAATAAAAGAGCACATGTTCAATGTGAAAAGTGACAGTAGTTATAGATTATTTGCAATTTGGTGCTATATATATATTTAAAAAATATATATTATATATATTTTTGAAACACCTTGAATTTCAGGGGGGGGCGCGGGGCTCCGTTGGCGGGGCGCAGCGCCCCTCCAACACAATGGTAGGGGAAACACTGGATAGTGTTTAATCAACGATAGGTTTTCCCCCCCTCAAAGGTGATTGGTTCACTGCATCGCAGGTATTATTGTGATTGGCTCTTGGGTCACATCAAAATTAGACGCGCTGTCATCCTCTCATACTGACACCTGACACCACACATACACACATAGGGAGAGCCGGGACGAAAGTAACACGGGACGAAAGTAACACGGGACGAAAGTAACGGAGCGATTTTATCCGAGCCCAAACAACTTTGACCGGCCAAATTACGTCAGAATTATCAGCATTCAATACTTAACAGACCTACTAAATATCAGGTTTAACTGTCAGGAGTAGCTAGTGTTGTCACGGTACCAACATTTTGGTTTCGATACCAAGTCAAGAATTGCGATTCCGATTCTTTTTTGATACTTTTCTTAAAAAAAGGGAAACAGTCTTAAATGTAATTATTGTGCTTTATTTCACACCAGAACCAGAACCATAACACAAACTTTTAAACAATGAGAACAATAAATAAAATAAATGACAAGAATTCGTATT